CTATTTTTAGGACTTCTATTCTTTACTTTTCAGGCGTGTTTTATGGCCCAGAATGTGGTCTATCTGGTAAATGTTCCATGTTATGTTGAGAAGAATGGCTAGTCTGCTGTTGTTGGATGATGTATTCTATAAATATCAAATAAAACCAGTTGATAGATGGTACTGTTCTCTTCAAAAATATGTTTACTGACTTTCTGCCTGCAGGATTTGTCAGTTACTGACAATGACATTGAAATGTTCAGTTAGAATTGTAGATTTGTCTTCCTCATATTCCAGTTTTTTACATTTTTGCATCACTTATTCTGTCAGTCTGTTTCAGCACATGTATCATAAAGGCTTATTGTGTCTTCCTGGAGAATTGGCACTTTTTATCTGTATGTAATGCCCCTCTTTCTCCCTGATAATTTTCCTTGTTCTGAAATCAGCTTTGTGTGAAATTAATAGTTATTTTAAATTGATAGCTTGGTCATTCAAAAATCTCTCCTGTACCTGAGTATTGTTTTGACGATTGCTTTCTCTCTTCACAATGTGTTTTCTCTTACCTTTTAGTATGCCTTCTAATTTTTGGTTGAAAACCAGATGTATCAGGTAATTTGAGGTAAATAGGTCTTTAGTGTGAGGTTTTATGTGTTCTTGAACAGGAGGTTAGAGTATGTTTAATGCTTGACATAGCTGTAAGTATCAGGAGCTTCAATATCCTCTAGTGCCCTTGAATTTTTCTTCCTCGTGTTTGAGTAGTCCCAGAAGCTCATTCTTGAGTAGAGTCTATGTCTTGCAGCTCTCTGTTTTAATCCACTGTTACTGTACTGGGACCCTAATGATATATGGTGGTAAGGTCTTTGAGATGGAATATGTTCTATTATGTTATGATTGAGCCTGCAGTGTTTTGGTGGAGGAGACTGTGCATAGGACTGTTTCTATGGACTGGACTATGAAAATCAGAGAAAGTTCTCAGCCCTTCTTTTTTTCCTTTTTTTTTTTTAATCAGAGAGGAAATCTGAAAAGGGCTGGAGTTGCATAATTGCTCTTTCTCTAATCAGATAAAGCGTTGGCAAGCTAGTTTCCTTTGAGAAATAGCCTAAGATACAAAGAACAGAATGCACTGTGTATATATCAAAATATTTCCCTGTTTGCTGCATGAAGCATGAGGCAATTTTTAAAAAATATATTTATGGTAAGAACATGGTTTGGCTCCTGCAGGAAGAATTCATGAATTGTGGGTGGCCCTCTAAGACTGGGTTCTGCAGACCTTTTAATTCTCGAGCTAGTTTACACTGTGTCTCCAGCAATTCATGTGTTCCTACAGTTTACTGGCTTGAGTGGCTTCTGCTCCTGGTTTATTCCGCAAAGGCAATTTTTAGGAGAGTAGGGCAAGTGTAAGTGGGTGCAGGTGGCTGCAGCAAAGAGGAGAGTGGGTTGGGCCTCTAATGTATCAAGGAGTTGAGTTTGGGTATTCAAGGTTTGACCCTCCTATCCACTGGCACAAAGAGAAAAGAGGCATGTGTCTACCTTTGTAACTTGATTGCCTATTGTAGACCAGGCAGGGCGAGTGGGTATCTAAAACCAATTAACAGTCACACATCAAAAGTGGAATCAGTGTCTTTATTAAAAGTTCACTCCTGATGATTGTGGACTGAATTATGCCACATCTCACAAGAATTTGAATAGCCATGTGAAAAGCACAAGCAACATGTTATAATTAAGATGAGGAAGTCTTGAAAAAAGCATTCCAATTCCAGTCATCCTAAGGTGTTGGAGAAATCCAGGAAAATATGTCAGTGGGGTTCCAGAACTCAATTCAGTTACCTTAGTAATGTTATTTGTTATTTTCATTTGTTTTCTCATGTGTTGAGTTATGGGTGGCCCCTTGCCATGTTGTTTACCCACAGGCAGCAAGCAATCCTTTAAGGGAACAGAACCTTCCCTGGGTGGCCAATAGTCTAAAGCCAACTAGTCGTCAGCCACCATGGCTGCCAGGGAGTTCCCCTTCATAGAAAGTCTCTAAAAGGTTAGTTGCCTGCTGCATGTGTTTAGGGTGTTTCAGACATTTCTTGACTGGGATCAGTGATGTGAGTTTGTTGAATGGCATCATGTGTACCCTGGGCAATGCCAGTCACTATCAGGACAGTGAGTGCAATCGGTAGGAAAACAGCACATTTGTGTTGGGAAGGGCCACAGCGTGTTATGAAGGAGGATGCCCCAAATAAAATACTGACATCCAGGGTACAGAGTATAGGTGGTGTTAGGAGGAAGGCCCAGTGGTGGGATATGAGTGTTTGCTGCTGGAAACTCTTACAGTAAACAAAAGGATTGTTGAGAATGACCATTTGACAGAAATGTCTCGTGCAGAAAGGCCTCTATAAGGTGTCACTAAGCCTGAGGATCAGAACAAAGTAATGGGCCCATGTACTGAGGTGGGGGGTGGGCGGGATGGTCTAACTAATGCCTCAAACAGCAGGAAGACTCATTTAGAAGTTAACATGGTTTATCTAAGGAAGCCATTCTAGCTTCTATGAGGGCTGTATCCTGGGGTCATAAGAAGTAAAAGTGCCACGGAATGCCTTTTTCTAGAGCCCAGCATCTTGAGGGTTTTGTTTGTTTTTCAGAAATGAGTTGATCACATCAGTGTCTTGGTGAGTCCTTCCGTTTTGGCTTCATCAGTGGCGTGTCTAATAGGATAAGTGAGGAGTATGTCTATATAAGTATATACCGTGGTCAGAGCATAGCAAGTAGTCCTGCTGAGGGGATGAAGGGTCCTATTAAGTCTATTTTCCATCAGCTGTAGGGACCCCTTCCTCAGCCTGGAAATTATGTCCATTGATTATACTACTAGGGGCATTGTTTTCCTTATCAGGTAAACTTGACAGTAAGTTAGCCATGGCAGAGGAGGGAAGTCCCTTGCATTCTAGAGCTTTAGGGCTTTAGGGTAGAGCTTTAGCCTAGAGCTTTAGGGTAGAGGTCTCTCAACGGTTTCACACATCATGGGCCCACAGAGACAAGATTAATACCATCAGGTTTGAGAGGTTTCTTATGTGCAGAGTTAGGAGTGACCTTGATTGGGTAACTGTGAAGCAAGACATTCCCAGAGTTCTTTATCCCAGAGTGGTGATAAGGAGTTCTTGTCACTATTGGTGGGACTGGATAGCAAGATCATTGGCAACGGTCAGAGGATCTGTGAAAATGTGCAGGTGAGTTTGACTGTTGGCCAGGGCATCCTGTAGTGCTAGTGTGCTTGCTGGAATTTGAGCGGATGCTTGGGTGCCGTTTTTATCAGGGATATCTTCTTTGATCGGGGGCAGAACCTGCCATTCTCTCCAGTGGACTCCATCAGGTGTGGTGGTAGCACATGGTCTATAAAGTATATGAACTCTCACGGTCCTTCATGTGATCCTAAGCGACTCTCCAAATGGCCAATGAGTCTAGAAAAGGGGTGACCTCCTCCAGAACAACTGCATTACTCAGAAGGGAACACACTTCCTCCTGTAGTTGAGATGTGCCAGAGGTCCCAATTTTGGCTTTATCCTGTAGGTACCATTATCCTTTCAATGAGGAAGCCTCTGTGGTGAAAAAAGCCTGAGGGATCCTGGCTTCACGACCCAAGACAAAATGGAAAGCTGGCTACACTGAATCATCAGCTCAGGGCCTCTGAGATCCTCCATTTCCAGACTGTGTCCATTACCAACAGTGGCTGCTCTGTGTTTAGCACTAGGCTGAGAATAGTTTCTTACACCAGAATGTCCTGGTTTATGGCCATCATGGGTGGTTTAGAGACTTGAGAGGCATGAGGGGTGGCTGCTAGGGCCTTTGTGGGTAGGAGTGTGGGGAGGGCAACGCTGATGTAGTGCCTGTTATTTGGTCAGAGTCTAGATCCTTTTGTTTTCCTGTTCAAAATCTGCTGATGTTTAAGTATTTTGTAAGTAAGCAAGTAGAGATGATAATTATGGGACACCTGGGATTGTTGCAGCTGAGAGGTATGTACCCATGACATGGGTTTGACCACTGTTTCTTCCACCATCTCAGCTCACAACCCCCTGGTGTTGCCACAGAGAAATTTTCCAGAGTGGGGCAGGTGTGGATTTCTAAAGATGTTTGCCAGTAGGGGGCACAGTGTAGGCTTGAGCTGGAATATGTAGAGCTGGAAATGGCCTAAAGATGAGCCTGGAAAAGATATGATGCTGATGATCATGAATTAGGATGTTCCCAGGCAGATTCCACTTGGGGAGACTGTGGGATACACCTTCAAAAGATCTGGGAGCCCTCTCACTCCACTCCTGTTATGAGATGAGGGCCAGTGCAGCCCTAGAGGGTGTTTTCTAAACTGAGATTTCAAGAGAGGCCTGTTGAGGACTGAGTCCTTCTTCCTGGTCCTTCAATTCTTTGTAAGTAGTACCAAAAGGTGGTGGAAATAACTGTTGCACATGTAAAAATCAAGATTCAAGCAAAGATTAACATTTTCCTAGCATGTGAAAGCATTGCTTTTTGTTAATTATTTTAAATACCTATATATACCATGTTTTAAGTGTAGTTGTGAGTTTTCACAAATGTACAGTAATGTTACCACCAAAAGATGGGTTATACTCCATCACCCCAAAAGAACATTTTTATGATGCCCTTTCTACCAGACCCCTTCACCACTGACTGATGGTTTAGGTCCCTAGGTATGCCTTTCCAGAATGTAACATAAATAGAACATATTGCCACTTGAGTCATCTGTGAAATTTGATGCCATATTTTCTTTCAAAGTGAGTAATTTCTTGCAGTGTTATTCTTCTTTTTTTAAAAAATTATTTATTTGGCTGTGTCAGGTCTTAGCTGCAGCATACGGGCTCTTCAGTTGTAGCATGCAGGATCTTTAGTTGTGGCACGTGGGTTCTAGTTCCCTGACCAGGGATTGAACCTGGGCCCCTTGCATTAGGAGCACAGAGTCTTAGCCACTGGACCACCAGGGAAGTCCCTTGCAGTGTTCTTCTGAGTTTAAAATTTTGACAAGTGATAAGTTGGTGGCATACATTAGGCTTTCAAAACTGAGATTCCATTACTGTGAGCTCTGTACGTTTGGGTAATAACCTCTTCTACCATGGTTAACCTTCTCGTTAAGACGTTAGGAATGATGGAAGGAATGACTTGCAGGGACGTCAAAAGGGAGACTAATAATTATGAAATGACAATCTTTACAGTGCTAAGAAAATGTAAGTTAGCACTAAAAATGGACAGAATTTGGCTTTCCTTTGCTCTTTAATAAAACTCAGAGCTGTTACTTTTGTATCCTCCTACTCTAGAATATGTGCTTTAAGTCTAAGCATATAGAAATGATACCTGTGAACAGTAAGATGGGATATGAGGCTTTGTGGGTCACTGAAAAAAAAAAGCTTTCAACCAATTCTCTTACAGAAAGGCATTAAAATTTTCCACTATCTCCTTTCACATTAAATTAGGATATTACTCAAAATGATACCCTCTCTCTGTAGCTCACCTCAATTATTCCTTGGATGATTGCCTTCTAAACATCCATAGCTCTTTTTGTTGTTTCCACCAGGAAGTCACAGTAGACTTACATAAATATCACTCTACTCACAGTATAAACTCAGGCTAGGCTAGAACAGTGCAGATGAACATAACCTTTTCTCAGACTGGGGGGAACTCCAGGGTTTAATAGAGTATATACTGTTTCAGTCAGTATACAAGCCAAATGAAAATGCCAAATATAAAACTTGAAATAGTTAAAGTGAATAGTTTCTTAAACGATGGATGCCACAAATATCTGTGGCCAGATCAAAGGAAAGTCTCAAGTCCCAGAAACCTATGTCCAAACTCATGATCACATGTTGTATACAGGAAACTGCAAAAATGAAGATGAACCATATTATATCTTTACCTTTATGGCGAATCTTTACTGTTAATCAAAGAAAGCAGGACTTTCTACACTGCTGCCCTCTATTTACTTCCACACCCAAGAAGTTCCTGTAAGTTAATAGAAATGCAAGTGATCAATAATGACATCCTCACTCGAGGCTCCTACCCTCATAAGAAAGATATACACACACTCCCAGCCTCTCTATTATCTGACATGTCATTATTTACTTTCCTTCAAAGCTCTCATTTCCATCTTATAAACCAAAGCTTCATCATTTATTAACTATCTCCCTTTTCCCACAAAAATATGAGCACCAGGACTGTAAGAACTTGTTTCATGCCTCTATATCCAAATCCTAGAGTGCCTTATTTGTGCTAAACTGGATATGTGTTGAATCTAGTGCCAGGCATGTTGAAATTGCATCAAGAGTATAGTCTCTGAGCAAGAAGCTTAACTAGAACAGTGATCCTGTCTTTCTCTCTTGCTAGGTTTGTGTTCTCTCACAATTTACCTGAACATATAGGTATCAGCTGAGTTATAAAGGAGATATTAAAAAGTATCGTATACTTTACTAAGAAGTGAATTTATGTATTTTCACTGAGGTACTTTATGGTAAACACTATCCATCCAGTATACCACAGGAAGTATAAGAGTGTTTAGATAATGGGTAGGAAAGGTAAAAAGTAACACCAGGGGACTGGATGCTGGCCTTGTGTTCTTTTGTCATGTTGAAGAGAAAAATGTCAAACACTTGCATCATCAGACAAAGCTGTTCAGTGATCACAAATGGATCAAGACAAAAATAAGGGTATTTTGTAACCATGTCACTAAAAACGATGAGACAATTCCAAATCATAAAAATTACCAAGATTCTGCTCTTCTCAATAATATGACTGACTGTGGAGCTTCCTGTGAATTAGGTTTAGCTTCACTACACTGTTTTTGTCTTCTAGAAAACATTGATTATGATTACCTATGATAGAATTAAGTTCACCTTCTTGCAGCATCCAGTACATCCAGAAACATCTTGCTTCCCTGAAGAGTAATCAAATCACCTACCAAAAGCCAAATTGTAAATCCTTTTGAGTACCCTTACTGATAAATCCAGTCATTTAGGGTTTGTGGTCAGTCTGAGTACTACAATTTATGACACCACTCTTGTTGACTGCTGGTGTGATCCCAGTGGGTTCTGGCCACATGACGCTGACAAAACAAATAAGAAATTCGTTTCAAGACAAAAATCATAACTATGTAGAAATAAAAATAAAATTTACCCGAGGAAAGAAATACCGGAACATGTATACACAAGGGATTATTGAATGAGAATGTGTAGCAATTAACTTGACCAAATTACACAGTTCACCTGAAAATTCATAGTCACAACAGAATATTTAAATATACGTGTTCAGGAAATGAAAAACACATTTATTAGTGTGCAAATTGTATGAAAACAGTTAATGAAAATATTTCTAAGAAACAAGATTTTGTTCAACAAAAATGTATTGTTTGTAATCACAATCAAACATAATTGAAAATGTACTGAGGAATTGTGTAGAGCTGTGAGCAACAGGAAGCACCCACAATCTGCCTGATATAAGGAAGGTGCCAATTCTCACTTGGAGGGGCTGGGCCAGGGCAGTCACTGAACAGTGCAGCAGAGGAAGAAACTCCAATATGGTTCTTTTGGACTGTGCAACCATAGCTGTCATAGTGGAATCAGGAACATGTGGTCACTATCAGTATTACGAGAATTAGGTGTTTACTACACAAATTAGACCTTATATGAATATGATCTAGAGAATATGGACGTCCAAGCATCAGAGAATACTCTGAACCATGAAAGTTAGAATTAGTTGCCTGGTGGACTCATGGAAACTTGCAGGAAAGTCCAAATCCAAAATATGATGGATCTTTGATGTGGAACTTGTGAAGATGTGTGGAAACCTACACGTCTGAGAAAATGGAAGTCAACCAGCTGATTATGGTTTCCAGGATACTCTGGATTGGCAGGGTAAGGAATCAGGAAAACAGGCTAGAACAAGTGTCCTCAAAGTTCCTGCACGTCTGTCTCCCTGCACGCTGCTGAAATCTGACTAATGCCTCCTGTACTTCTGAATTTCAAATCTCATGCAAGTGAGGCTACATGTGAATTCTCACATGGAACCATAAGAGAAATGGATTATAGAAAATGTCACATTACCCAGGTGATAAAACAAGGTAGGAAAGCCAACTCCAATTCTACATTTTATTGTTCAGTGACAGGTCTGTCTTAACAACTATTTTTTTTTAGTAGTTATTTATTTATTTGGCTGCATTGGGTCTTAGTTGCAGCATGTGGAATTTTTATTTTTAGTTGTAGCATGTGAACTCTTAGTTGCAGCATGTGGAATCTAGTTCCCTGACCAGGGATCGAACCCGGCCCCCTGGCATTGGGAGTGCGGAGTCTTGGCCACTGGATCACCAGGGAAGTCCCTCTTAGCACATTATTGACAAGAGGTGTATTAATATATCTTTTGTTACCTGAATGTTATTGACCAGAGATGTACCAATACGTTTTTAGAGAGTGATACAATTAACATCACTGTGCAAAGTTGTTAGAGCTTAAAGTTGATCAAGGTTCATTATACAACTTGTGATTGTCATTATCATTCACACTTTGCTCCATTAGGTTTTTGTTCCAACCTTGTTATCTATTATAAACGCAAGTGTATGGCCATACAATTTTCAAAAATGATGCATCGTGAAATTTTGAGTGAAGAATTTTTTGGTGAATTTTATGCAGATACTTTCTCTGATTGTCCATGTGACGTATATACTAGTGTCTCAGAATATAGTTCTGATTCAGACGATGTGAATATTAGACCAACAAAAAGACAAAAAACCTTAGTGATTGATTCTGATACAGGAAATGAAAATGAAACTCACAGTGCTGGAGAATGCTCCTTTGCTTCTACAGAAGAGTGGATTGAAGACAACATTTCATGAAAATCAGAAGACTTTACAGTGTGCCAGGTGCAAATAACCCACAAAGTGTTAGTGAAATAAAAATATTTGGTAGCAACTTTCTTGAGTTGGTTCCTTCTCAAACAAACTTGTATCACCAACAGAATGAAAAATCATATAAAAAGTATGGTAAGGCTTTAAAATGGACTGATGTAACCAACAGTGATACAAAGAAGTTTCTTGGGTTAATACTTTCGATGGGACAAATAAAGTCACACTGGAAAGAATATTGGTCGACTGATCCCTTAATTGAAACACCTATTTATCTTTCGAAAGATTATGACGAGAAAAAGGTTTGAACAAATAGACATTTCTTCACTTTAATGATAACTCGGAAAACTCCACTTCCTGCAGAATTTCAAAAGTTAAACCTCTTTTGGATTATTTTCTATCAAAATTTCAATCAATCTGTATACCCAAACAAGAGCTATCACTTGACGAGAGAATGATAAAGTGGAGAGGACAACTCAGATTCAAATCCTGGAAAACTTACAAAATATGCAATTTTGGTCAGGATTGTTAGCGAAAGTGAAACTGGGTATATATGCAACCTTGAGATTTACACAGGTGAAGTAAAGAAACTGCAAGAAACAATATTATCAGTCCTACAACCTTATCTTGGTTCATGGCACCATATTTACCAAGACAATTATTACAACAGTGTGTCCACATCTGAAATACTGTTGAAATATAAAACCAGAGTTTGTGGGACTATAAGAGAATCATGGTCTACCAAACCAATTAAAGGAGAAATCTAAAAATCTATAGAGGGGAGAAATAACATCCTTATGGAAGGGAGAAGTGATTCTTCCTATATGGAAAGACAAGAGGCTAGTCCGCAGGGTGACAACTATTCATGATGCTTCCATAGCATCTACAGGAAAGGAAGACAGGAGGACTGGCCATCAGATAACTAAGCCCACTTGTATATTAGAGTATAATAAATATATGAAAGGAGTGGATCAATCTGATCAGTATCTGGCAAACTTCAATATCCTCTGGAAAACTTGAAAATGGTATAAGAAAGTGGGTTTCCATTTGAGTAACTGTGGTTTATTCAATGCATTTAAAATTTATTGTAGTCTTAATGAAATGACTTACAAGCAATTTTTGTTAGCAGTAGCTAGAGAATGGGTAACTGACCATTCTGGTGAATGCAGTGGTAGACCCGCACCTGGTCCTTCTTGTGACTTTTTAAGAGAGTCCCCTGTAAAGATCCACCTTGTTGACTAGGTAAAATAAACGAACATATTCTAGAGGAAATAATACCCACAGGACCAAAAAAAAAAATTGCCACCAGAAAGTCTGCTCTTCCAGGGGAAAGCACAGTGAAACACGGTATGTTTGTAATAGATGTTCTGTTCCCCTGCACAGAGGTGCTTGCTATACTGCCTATCACACTCTAAAGAAATATTAGAATGCTTTAGTAAGACATGTACAAAGTTTCAAATAAATACATTAAGTGCAAAAAAAGTTGTTGATATTTACTCAAATGTGGGTGTTTCAATATTCATTTACATAACAAATTGCCGGCCACAGGTGTTAGTTTCTGCAAAAATCCCCTGGTCAATAATGTGTTAATGCAAACTCTTTATTATTCAAATCCTAGCCAGAAGGAATGACAAAGAGCAAAGAGCAAAACACAGAAATAATTCACATGAGACTATATACACTATGATATTTACAAATTTATGCCATCTTTTACTAGCAAGGAAAATGAAATAAAGCTCTTCTGGCCAAAACAAGAGTAGATTTTCTCATAAGAAGGATGGACTATATAATGGGTAAGGAATATCCAATACCTGGCACTACAGGAGGCCAGTAGGAAAATCCCAACAAATACCAAAATGTCATTTATCAATAGCCCCATACAAAATGATCAAAACATAAAAATTAAACCAACCTGCATGTCAATTCAGCCATGGATCAAACAGGCTCCAAAATGAAAAGAGAAAAATGTTAATTGATTTAAGGGCAAAACAATACCTGTTAATCATTCTGTAGTACTGCTTACAGAGTACTTACCGAATTATCTCACTTCAGTGTTCATTTTTGAACGTAAGTAGTAAATATCCAGTCGAGAGATCCCCTTTAAGAATGAGGCACTGATAAAGACGATGTAACTCTAAAAATTATTCTTTCATGTTATTTTTTTCTGGAACATTATACATGGATTAATTTGTATCAGGCTTTCTCAGATTTCTTACACATATAGGGTTTCTTTCCAGTGGGAGTTTTCCCATGTAAGAATGAAGGCCAACTGATGTTTTCCCCACATTGCTTACATTCAAGAAGTTTCCATTAAGTATGAGATCTTTCATGCCTTCGAAAGGAACTGGGTCGACTGAAGGCTTTCCCACCTTCTCTACATTTGTAGTGTTTCTCGCCAGTGTGTATTTTCATGTGTCCTTGAAAGGTAGTGCAATAAATAAAGGCTTTCCCACATTCTGTACAGTCATAAGGTTTCTCTCCAGTGTGAGTTTTTTCATGTGTTCGAAAGGATGCATAACAACTGAAGGCTCTGCCACATTGTTTACATTCATAGGGTTTCTCTCCTGTGTGAGTTCTTTGAAGTATTCTAAATGAACTGGGAAAACTGAATGCCTTTCCCCATTCCTTACAAGGTCCATCTCCAGTGTGTGTTACCATGTGTGTTTGAACACTTGACGGAGAAATGAAGGCTTTCCCACATTCTTTCTTTACATTTATAGGGTTTCTCTCCAGTGTGCTTTCTCACATGTCCTTGAAAGGTTGTGTGATAAATGAAGGTTTTCCCACATTCTGTACATTCATAGGGTTTCTCTCCAGTGTGAGTTCTTTCGTGTATTCGAAATGAACTGGGCCAACTGAAAGTTTTACCACACTGTATACATTCATATTACTTCTCTCCAGTGTGAGTCCTTTCATGTGATCGAAACGAACTGGGACAAATGGAGGCTTTCCCAGATTCCTTACATTTATAAGGTTCATCTCCAGTATGTGTTATCATGTGTGTACGAATGCTTGAAAGAGAAATGAAGGCTTTACCACATTCCTTACATTCATAGGGTTTCTCTCCAGTGTGAGTCTTTTCATGTCTGTGAACAGATTTGTGGTAACTGAAGGCTTTCCCACATCCCTTGCATTTATATGGCTTCTCCTCATATTCACGATACTCATATGGTTTGTGTCCACTGTGAGATCAGATGTGCCTATTAAGGAATGAATGACGTATGAAGACTTTCCCACACACGTTACAGTCACATGGTTTTACTCCAGAAACAGTTTTCTGGTTCAGATTAAGATTTGGAATCTGGCTGACAATTTCTCCATCTTGACTACCTTCTTTGCTTTCACAGAGTTTTTCTACCATATGACTTCTGTAAAAAATGAGAAATTATTGATGATTTCTTTAACAATGTCACATTTATTAGTAGGGTATTAGAATTACATTTTTATATTTTATAGCAAAAGTGAAGGTTTCTTGCCCTTTCTGAATTTTTTGAGGGTGATTTATACTGAAAGCTCTGTAAGAGGACTTGACATACCTATTATGAAAACAGTAATATTAATATATTGGGTTTCTTAATATTGTTTCCAAAAACACTGGACATCTATGTCACGTTTAAGTAAATGTTTTTGGTGAAAAAAATTTATGGATAACTTTGAAGCTGGGGTTGTTTTATTTTAAAAAGTTTATGACATACCAGGATTCTCACGTGGCACACTGATATCTACTGTGTGTGTGACTCACCTTAGTTTTCTCCCTTGGATTTTGTACCAATCTTCAGTGTTATGATTGTCCTTTTTTTCCCCCTAAAATGCAGACCCAGAAAAATAATGCAAGTTATTAGAAATTATAGAAATATATTAGATTTTAGGTCCACAATGAGCTGTGACCATGCTTAGATTTATTTACCTTAGATTTATTTACCAATGTACAGCAGTTCCCCCTTACCCACAGTTTCGCTTTCGGTGGTGTCAGTTACCTATGGTCAATTGCAGTCTGAAAATATTAATTTACACTGTGCACCCTTCCAAGTAATATGATGAAATCTTGCAATGTCCAGGTCTGTCCTGTCCAGGATGTGAATCATCCCTTTGTTCAGTGTATCCATGCTGTATATGCTACCTGCCCATCAGTAACTTAGTAACCATCTCAGTTTTCAGATCACTGTGGTGGTATTGCAGTGCTTGTTCAAGAAGTCCTTATTTTAATTAACGATGGCCCCAAAGTGCAAGAATAGCGATGTTGGTAATTAGGATATGCCAAAGAAAAGTTATAAAGTGCTTCCTTTCAGTGAAAAGATGAAAGTTCTTGATTTAAGGGAAGAAAATAATCATACATTGATGTTGCTAAGATCTATAGGAAAAATGACATGAAATTGTAAAGAAGGAAAAAGAAATTGATCTTAGTTTTGCTGTCTCATCTCAAACTGCAAGTTATGGACACTTAACACTTATGCATGTTAAGTTCATGTCTATTTTACATGTTCTATTCTTAGTTATTGTTATCAATATCTTACTGTGCACCAAATTTCTAAATTAAACTTATTATCATAGGTATGTATGTATAGGATTCAGTACTATCTGCAGTTTCAGGCATCCACTGGTGGTCTTGGAATGTATCCCCTGCAGATAAGGGGGGACTACTGTATTACTTTTCCATATTCCACATCTTGGAACAGTGTTGATGGGCAAGAAATACTTGTTCTCTAACTGAAGTGAAGGAATGTTGTCATGGTTACCTATTGAGGCCAGGTTCCTCAAGATTTGCTGCATCACATCTCTATAAAGTTTCTTCTGCAGAGGATTCAGTAAAGCCCACTCCTCCTGGGTGAAGTTCACAGCCACATCCTCAAAGGTCACTGGGTCCTAAAACAGACCAAATATGTTTCCAGTAAGATGTGTGAGTCTGACAGAACTGGGGATTTATACTCAATTTACAGGAAGATTACATATGATTCTGTCACCTTCAAATTTTATGTCTTGGTCATCAGAAACTGACTCTATGTCCTTACTTACTTCTTCATGAATTTAACAGCATAATGAACACATGCAATTTATTTATTCATTTTCACTGTGATTACTTTAAATGTTATTGCTCTCTGATGTCAGGGTCTAGAGCACCCTGGAGAAATGAGAGAAATGCTACACAAATGAATCATTTTAAACACATCAATCTCTTGTGAGAAAAACTCATCTCCTTTGTTATTACACACCATTTAACTCAGTACACTCCATGATGTATGAGGTCAGATCTGCAGGAGCTTTCAATGAATAAAACACAGTGAAGAACTGGAAGCTTTTTCTTCTATTCTCATCACCAAACATGAGAGTCCAGGAGGCCTGTGGAAATCCAACTTGTGACAAGGATCAGTTTGCCATACTGGCCTGAGAATTACTCCAGGTGATAAGAAATAGCCAGGTGCAACTGGCTAGATTAAAGTATTCTTGTAAAGAAGTAGTACTTTTAGCTTGTGTAAAATTTATTGCAGACTCAGTTTCTCCATTCTCTCTCTGTCCCATTCATGGAGCTAGGAAGTTATTCAGAAGTTAAGGCTCAGACAACTTTGCATGATATGACACGCTAAAAAGACACAGCTACTTAGACCTCCACAAAACCCTATACACAATGAGCCTCAGGGATGCTTCTCACTAGTTTTTAGCACACACAGGCACACATGATGAAATGATAAAGTGCTAAAACATTTCGTTTTGGTCAAAGCCCTTGCTAAATAACCTTGAGGAATGGGTTAAGAGCTGCATATTGCACAGGAATTCACAACACTCCACAAAGGTCTGATGGTGAATCTACCCATGATTATATAATACATAAAGAATTCACAGCGCTTTCCTCCAAACAATGTAAAACCTCCATTCTCTAATTTCAGGTGGAAGTTTCCTGGCCAGCCACTCCAGAGGCAATCCTCCCAACATCTCTCACTTCTCAACTCCCATATGGTGCACAGAAGCATAACAGCCCAGCCCCGAGTACAGGAATATGTAAGTTGATGACACCACACACTGCCAATAGTGTACAAAGGGTTTATTACTTCCATAATTGAGGTCTCTAGGGAGTAAGGCAGGCCTCTCAAGAAGGCATGAAATGGCTTGAGAGTGCAAGGAAAAGTACATGGACTTATTTTTTAGTTGAGGTTGTGGGTGGACTGAAGAGAGAGTTCACATACAAGGGCAGGAGCAGGCAGGAATTGAATCTCTTGTCACTGCCACAGGAAGGAAACTAAGGCTTTCCTATCATCATGGATACATGTGGGTCACAAGAGGAGAAAGGAGGGATGAGGCTTCAAAGCTGTCAGCAGTCAAAAAACTTGAGTCAGAGACTTCTCTTTTCTTGTTCTTTGTATAAAGAACTTAGAAACCATCCTTCCTAACCTCACAAGAAGAAAAGCAAAGAACTGAAGACACAGAGCAAACCACTGTTTCCAAAATTGGAAAGAAAGAAAGAAGCTATTTTGAAATAACTATTCTTAACAAGGCCTATCCTCAAAAGAGACTGTTTCACCAGGGCTTAATGCAAAGACAAAAAAGAATACAACATCTAAGAACTTTGGGACAATGACAGCAGGTGTAAAATACACAAAATGAGAATGCCTGATAGAAAAGCAGAAAGGAACAAAAAAAATAAGTGAAGCAATCATCACTGAGATTTTCCTAACATTAGTGATAGACAGCAAACTGCAGATCCAGGAAGCTAAGAAAAACACAAAACATGAAAAAAAAAGAACACCAAAAACTGCACTGCCAAGCACATCATTTTCAACTGGAGAAAAATCAAAGACAAAGGGAACATTCTGAAAGAAGCCAGAGGGAAAAACAAACCTTAGTTTTACTTAAACAAGGATAAGAATTAAATCAGACCTCTTTTCAAAAACTATGCAAGCAAGAAATATCATATAACTGGAATCACATCGTATTTATCCTTTGGAATCTGGGTTCTTTCACTTAGCAATATACATATATATATATATATATACACATATACATATACACATATAACATACATATATATACATATATATACATATATATAAGATTTATCCATGTTATTGCACATATTAACAGTTCATTACTTTTTATTGCTGAGTAGGATTGCATTGTACAGATGTACTATAATTTATTCATTCACCAAATGACATTTGAGTTGTTTCCAGGTTTTGGTAATTATGAATAAAGCTGCTGTAAACATTAACATACCAAAACCAAACAAAACAACAACAACGAAAAACCCCAACTATGCAACCAAGAAGAGAGTGGAATGAAATATTTAAAGTGCAGAAGGTAAAAAACCACCATCCTAAAACTCTGTGTCAAGCAAAATTATTCTTCAAAAGTGAGGGAGAATATTTTGTAATAACCTGTATGTGAAAAGAATCTGGAAAAAAAAAATATATATATATATATATATAAAATAACTGAATATATATATAATAACTGAATAACTTTGCTGTATACCTGAAATGAACACACACTGTAAATCAACTATACTTCAATAAAAAAATATTAAAAAGCAGATAAGCCTTTGTAATAAAAAAAATCTCTAGGACTGCTGCATCTCAGGAAAAACAGTGACAGAGAAATACTTCCTGAGAAAAATTGAGGGACTCTAA